GCTGGCTGGTTAGCTCAGCTGGTGAAAGCATGGTGTTATAACATCAAGGTCAAGGGTTTGGATCCCCATACCAGCCAGCTGCCAAAAAAAAAAAAGATACATGGAATGCCAACCAGTGTTCCAACTATACACCCCCTAGTAGGCCATAAAAATCAGGAGTCACTAGTATAAAACAGGAAACTTTTCCCTTACTATTTTTTGGCAGTTAAAGAGAACGATCTTTGTCTGTCTGTCTTTTTTTTTTTTTAACAAGGAAGTTCTTAAATATTTCCTTTTATATATATTTTTTTTGTGTGTGTGTGGCTAGTCACAGGGATCAAACCCTGGACCTTGGTGTTATCAAAACTATTCTCTGAGCTAACCAGTCAGGTCCCCAGATCTTTGTCACTCTTGAAATACAAATGCTTGGTTCTTTGGATAACTCTTTTTATGAAAAAATGAAGCAAAATATAATATTTTGACAGAGTGATTAACAATAATACAAGCCACAAAATGAAACAAGGTTGTGCCGGCCCATGGCTCACTCGGGAGAGTGTGGTGCTAAGAGCACCAGGGCCACGGGTTCGGATCCCATACAGGGATGGCCGGTTAGCTCACTGGGTGAGCGTGGTGCTGACAACACCAAGTCAAGGGTTAAGATCCCCTTACCGGTCATCTTTTTAAAAAAAAAATGAAGCAAGGTCAATTTGCTGAGAGTGGTGAGTTGAGAGAGATTCTAAAGTCCAGGTACTGTTGGAGTGAGCAGGACTGAAGCCAGGTTGGAATCTAAAACCACCTGCTCTGTGGGAAGACTTTAAAAAGACTCAGTTTTTCTTCTCTTTCTTCGTATTGCCTGACTTTCTCATCTTACTTTCTAAGTAGAAAAACAAGGCTGTTGAAAGTTAATTAGTACCTTGCAAAACTAACAGTTCTGTTTTGAGGCTTGCAGAATTCCAAGGCCAGCCAAAGCCCTGAAAAGCTACACAGAAACTTTGCAAAGAAGCTGATTCCATCCTGAAGCAAAAAAAAAAGTCCTGCAGGACCTTAAGATAACATCAAGGACAAGAACAGAGACCAGATGGAACCTCATGAGACCCTGCACCTGGCTCCTTGTATGGAGCCTCACAGCTCATGACCCCTCCCTCCTGCTTTTTACTTCCTGCTTCTTACCCAGTAAAACCCCTCAATAAAACTGAGACTTTGAGGTAGTTATAGTCTGGCCATCTCCTCAGCTCAATAAAGCTGACTTCCTATTCCACCAACAATTTGACTTTTGTGGTTTTTTTTTTTTCGTTTGAGCAACAGGTAGCTGGACTTGGGTTCGGTAACAGTACCACTTATGTAGATGAGGTATGGAAGTAGAAAGATTTTGTGATCTAACAAGATATCGTACCTTGTTATATAATAATAAATATCCTTCACTCCAGCATCTAGCAAACTTTATTCATCACAACCCACAACAAATAATACATTTTACATCATGACCCAGGCCATACGCCCTTGTATATGTGTTTATAATAGACACATACTGTTAAGTCGCATAAACACACCTTAATTCGAGACCATTTGTTGGTCTGAGAGAGGGAGAGGGAGAGAGGTAGAGAGGAGTTTTAGTGAAGCAGGCGGGCGGGCGTCTGCCTCGGCTGTCTGCCTGGCACAGCCATGCTTTCCAACCTATGGCTTCCAAGAACCTTTTGGCCAGTTACCTAGCTCATAGACCTGTGTGAAGGGGTCTCATGACCCAGCCTGGTGTGTGTGGGGTCTGGTGACCCAGCCTGGCGTATGAAGGGTTTGTGACCCAGTCTATGAATGGGCTTGAGGGGTCTGGGAGCTCCAGACCCAGCTCTACCTCAACAATCGGCCCAGTTGGTGCAGGATTACTGGCAGGTAAAAGAGCCGAACAATTAGCGCGGGCGTGTAGCTAGACACCATTCAAAACTTGGTATAAGTTACATAAACTGGAATTGGAAAATTGAACTCATTTCCACAGATTTATAATCTGCATTGTTTAAAGGAATTATTAAAATTACTAATATGAATGAAATTAATAAACTCTTACTATTAGAGACAAGAGACACTACTCCACACCTGTAGCAGAATGCATTCAGGAGACGCAGTTAATTGTTGATTGCCAAGTTCTTTCCTCTGCCTCTCTCCCATACCTGTCAGTAAAACCTGATGAGATCAGGGCTGGCTGATTAGCTCACTAGGGAGAGTGTGGTGCTGATAACACCAAGGTCAGATAACACCAAAGTCAAGGGTTGGGATCCCCTACTGGCCAGCTGCCAGAATTAAAAAAGACCTGATGAGACTACCTCCTTCCTCAAATTGTCCCCTCTATATTGTTACTGAACCCAAGTCCAGGCGCCTGCCACCACAAAACAAACAACTCAAAAGTCAAAATGGTGAGAAGGGAAGACAGCTCTATTCAGGACTGGCAACCTGAGGGAGATGTTAGGCTAACCCATCTCCCCAGCTCAGATTTATCGAGGGTTTTCGAAGGAGGAGGTTGAGGGAATGGAAAGCAGGAGGGGGTAGATGTGAGCTGTGGGGGTTATATGTAAGGGGCCAGGTACAAATTCTTGTCAAGGCTCTGTCTGGCTTCTGTTCTCATCCTTGACATCATCTTAGCAAAGCAGGAGGGGGTAGATGTGAGCTGTGGGGGTTATATGTAAGGGGCCAGGTACAAATTCTCGTCAAGGCTCTGTCTGGCTTCTGTTCTCATCCTTGACATCATCTTAGCGTCCTGCAGGATTTTGATTTGCTTCAGGGTGGAATCAACATAGCTTTATTGATGCCTTCCTTGGTTTCTCAGGGTCTGAAAAACAGCTCTACACTTATGTAAATAATATCATCCTGCCAAGGTTCAACATATCAAGTAACCATAGGAAAATAGGGAATTGAGAGAAATGCATGCTTAAGAAAAAAAATTGTCTTTTAAATTTTTCCCAAAGCCCACGCAGTTTTAGGTCCCAACATGGCTTCAATCCTGCTGACTCCAACAATATCTTTGCCATTGCCATGCGTCAATTAGGTACTCTTTTTATCTCCTTCCTGGTCTTGCAGTTTAATCTTTCTCCAAATCATCTTCACCCTGATGCCAAAGTGATTTTTCTAAGTTCCAAATCTGATCGTGTAGTTCTTCTAATTAAAACCTCAATGATCTGCCTCCTGCTTCTTGTAGCCACATCTCCCACTGTTCTCCTCTAAACATGTCAAATTTCTTACCTTTACATAAGCTGCTTTCCCTCCTGTAAACCTCTGACCCACAACAGGTATTGTTGACTTTTCCATCCTTGGTTCCCTAGTTCATGTTGTATGTACCTGGTTTGGCTTGTTTTTTGCATGTCAATAAAACTTTATTTACAAAAATAGGCAGTGGGTCAGATTTGGCCTGTGGGTTATGGTTTGCTGATTCTTGTGCTAAATTAATAGCCACATTCCTATGCCACAGGCTGTGTTACTCTCTCTCCAGTAAAGAAACCACATCTGACACAGCCCTGCAATTGGAACTACTACTTCCTTAAGTTTGTAGTAGTCCATGTATCTCCTGAAGTAGCTACTATGCCATCTTTGTACTATTTATGAGTCAATTTTTCCCTCTAGACTGAAATCCTTGAAGATCCACAGGGCCTCTTTTATTTTTTAATCCTGAGCATCTAGCACATAGTAGGTACCAGTGAATTTGTCTCAAAAGAATTGATTTTTTTTTTTAAGTATATTGTTAAGAGAATGAAAAGACAAGGCACAGACTGTGAAGAAATATTTGCAAAGTACATATGTAATTCAGTTCTGGTATCAAAAATGCACAAAGAACTATTAAAACTCAACAACAAGAAAACAAACAACTGGGCTGACTGGTTAGCTCAGCCAGTTACAGCACGGTGTTATAACACCAAGGTCAAGGATTCAAGGGTTCAGATCCCGATACCGGCCAGCTGCCCAAAAAATAAAAATAAAGTAAAAAAAACTTGTAGAATGTGCTAGGAATGTTACTTCCTGAGACAGAGAGGAACCAGCCAGAACAGCCTGGGCTCTCTGTTCCAGTCCCCACTTACAAACAGGATGTATGTCCTTCAGTGCTTTAGCCCAGTATCAAACTCAGGGTGTTTGGAGTCCTTCAGCAGTGGTGCAGGTGGGGCACATACAGATGAGACTCCATCCACCCCAGTTTACTTGAGCCTTGGGGGACTGAATGAATCGTAGGCTCCTGTTTTCCCTTGCTGCCTATCTGTAAGTAATAAATGCACTTCATGTAAATTGTGTATGAGTATGTCCTGTCTCACCAGACCCAGACATGTTGATAACCAGTACACAGTGATCCTGCTTCACATAGTCTGATGTCTTCTTGTTCAGTTTATAAATATTTACTGAGCTTCCATTTGCTGGACATCACCATGTGCCCTTCTCCCTTCTCCACCCTGCTCTGTGTACGCTTTGGTTCATGCACAGAGACACTGGCAAGTATTGAAGGAGAAGAGGAGAGTGAAGTCGAGGAGTTTAGTCTCCCCCTTCCTGCCACACCATAGGTTGCCTGCCTCCCTCTAAAAAGGCTACAGCTCCTTCCAGGCAGCCCTCTTCCCTTGAGCCTTCAGGCTCAGGGTTCTGCACCAGACCTCCGTTGCCTTGTTACTGTTTTTTTAAATCTTACCCATGCCTTTGTATACAGTATCTTTATGAAACCCTACTCATATTCCCAGTTTGAGCGTGCCACTTGCTTCCTGCCAGAATTCTGGCTGATACAGCCCAAAACTGACATTGGCAGTGACCAGATCTGTGAGTTGAGAAACAAAACTCTCTTTCATAGGGCACTGATACTACAGGTTTGCCAGTGTAGTGTTTTTACATGTTAGCCCATGTAGTAGTCACAATAAGCCTTTTCAGATAAAGAAACTGGACTCAGAGGCTTAATTATTACCTTGCTAAAGATCATCAAGCCATTAAGGATCAAGGTCAGACTGGAACCCAGGTAGGTCTGCCCCCATAAACATCAATCTGCTCTGGAAGCAGATCCAGATACCATGAGCTCTAGGAAAAAGGTTTGGTAAGGGACTGAGGGGCAAGGGAGGGATTAGGACCATGTTTCTCCACGAGTCACCTGAATTATAACCATTTGGGATGCGTTTTCAAAATTCAGATTCTTGTAACTGTATCTCTCTCAGTCCTTTAGCTCTCGGCGGTCTTTGTACCTCTATTTCGACACTCACCACAATGGATTGCAGGATTAGTCATTAACTTATTTTAGCAGATACTCTTTCTTCCATTCAGGGCACTGGTATATTTGCACAAACTCTAGGGGGCCTCGCAGAGTGGCTTTGGGAGTCCCCAAGAGCAACCAATGGGAGTAGTGCGGAACGACTGCTTCCCCGCGAGGGGGAGACGCGCCAGACCCCGCCCGTAACTCCGCCGACCCGGGCCTCCTCTTCCGCCCAGGTTGGGATGGCGACGATCGAGCCTGGAGCCCCCGGGCCACCGCCAGTGCTGGGACGAGCCGGTGCGCATCGCCGTGCGCGGCCTGGCCCCCGAGCAGCCGGTTACACTGCGCGCGTCCCTGCGCGACGAGAAGGGC